TTTCTTCCTAAAACCAAATAATGTGAGAAAGCTCAATTCTAGGAGATGTTCTTTCCAGAAATGGTGTACTAATAAGCTATTTGTACTTCGACGGATCTATAGATTGTGAGTCAGACTGGAGTTTTTATATATAGTAGTTTTGTTAGTTACATGGTATTTGCTGTACACCTGCGTTCTACTGTATGTATATTTGATAATTATTGTTTATGATATATGAAACAGGACATATTAAATCTTTTTTTATTGAGAGTATCCTAATCCAGAAAGTTTAAAGTGACCTGTTTCTGCATGGACCAAACATTCAAACTACTTAAAGGCAGTCCCTTTCCCCAGTCTCTTAATAACACTTTACCATGCTGGACTATACCTTGTAGCATAGGGTATTATTCGAGGTGGTGTGGTGGCTCTGTGGCTAAGGATCTATACCTGTGGCTGGAAGGTTGCCGGTTTGTATCCTGCGGCCGGCAGAGGAATCCTACTCTGTTGGGCCCCTGAGCCCTTAACCCCAACTACTCCATGGGTGCTGTATAAATGGCTGACCCTGTGCTCTGACCCCAAGCTTCTCTCTCTCCCTGTCTGTGTGTCTCATGGAGAGCAAGTTGGGGTATGTGAAAAGACAAATTCCTGATACAAGAAATTGTATATGGCCAACAAAATGATTTTATCTTAATGTGCTGTCTTAGAATGATCAACCGCACAAGAGACACAGAATATTGCTTTAAACTGAGGAAGAATATCGTTGTGTTTTAATTGAAAACATCTATTTAGGAAGCAGGAACCAGCTTTTACTTGGTATATACAGTATGTAGTATGTCACTATATTCTGTACAAGAGTGCCACCTGCTGTAACTAATAGTTATAGACAATGTTATCATACAGCTACATTTGTACAGGTTATGCTTGGGAGTTATATGCATCTCCATTTCATGTCCTTCAGATACCCTTATAAACAGTAATAAATATTAATTTGGCTTTCTCCAGACAAATATCTTTCAGAATTCAATCAGGAAAAAGGTATTGAGGAAAGGAGTAAGCCAATGGCTGTCAACTAACCTCTGCAGTTTGCCACAGATGGATATCCTCTGTAGTTCCATAGAGTGCCATTAAAAGGAGGAATAAAAGAAACTGTGCTGATACAGTTTGTGTCACCAGGGTCCTCTCTATGGCATGTCAGGCAGTATGTTAAGAATGCAAAATGATGCCATGCCTCACTGCACTATAAATAAATGAACACCTAATGTATTTTACAGATTATTTTTGTAGATTTGTTTTTACTGTTGAGCACCATTGTGAGTACAAGGGTGGTTCTTCGATTTGATTCTTTCTTTTGTCACCGTTTATGAAGTTATTCATTTGGCATAGCATGAACACTTTTTGACTGTGCCCCAAGAGCTCCCTGCAGTTTAATTTTCAGTACAATAAAGCCAAGTGGGTCCCATGGCCCTCCAAACAATCCTGCAGTCTGATGAGAGTAAAGGCTCCGTTAAAGTGTTATAAAAGGTCTGCAACACTGGTAGCGGGTTAAAAACTATTGCTTCACTTCATGCATGGCTCTAGCATAACCAAGCTGCATATACTGGGGGAGTGGTGGCTCTGTGCCTGTGGCTGGAAGGTTGCCAGTTCAAATCCCGCAGCCGGCAGAGGAATCCTACTCCGTTGGGCCCCTGAGCAAGGCCCTTTACCCCAGCTGCTCCAAGGGAGCTGTACAATGGCTGACCCTGCGCTCTGACCCCAAGCTTCTCTCCCTGTCTGTGTGTCTCATGGAGAGCAAGCTGGGGTATGTGAAAAGACAAATTCCTAATGCAAGAAATTGTAAAGGGTTAATAAAGTGATATTATTATTTTTATACAAAACCTGACCTCCTCTTTACTTTCATAATTCTGCTTTTTCAGATTTCCTATCATGGTTGCATCAAAGGTAACTTATTTATATTACGTAGTGTGCATTTGGAAACAAATGTAGTGTTCAAAAAAAAAGTTTGGTCATGGAGTTTCTGTGAAAATATTTTTTTCTTCTGGTTTAGTGAGAAAATGAGAAAAGAACTGCCTAGTTACCAACATAACAGCAGGCTAATAGGCACGAAAATTAACTGAACATGCCAAACAGGCAGAGACGTGCACTATAGTTGCCTAAAATGTTTTTTTTTTATGTTTAACACGCCTCAAAAATACATACCATTTCTTAATTAAGGACAATTCCTCACTTTAACAGACTTGGGTTTGGATGGCAACAGGTAACTTGAAAGCATGTTCGAGATGATGTATGCAGTTTATACACAGGTGCACTCTGGATTGAATAGCGTCTCTTGGGTGTCACACCAGCAGCTGAGCGAATATTTACAGAGACTGGAAAAATCTGCCACAATTTAATCAGCTGTATCACAAAGCAAAGACAATAGTTTATTAGATTTGCTTTGTAAAAAGACAAACTTTTAACTAATCTGTCATTTTACATAATAATCCATTATACAGTATATTCATATATATTATTCATATTAATGTGGGATTTCATGATTTGTTATAAACAGTATGTGGACAGAAGCTTTGTTATTTCATAATCATTAATTTACCTTAAGACATGATGTGCCTTATCCAACAGCATTAAGGTTAGTAAGGTTAGTAAATTGAAGTTAAATTAATAAAAAAAGGTTAGGTCTGAGGATCCCAACACAAAGCACTAACTGTTCTCCCCCTGCCCTCTGGCAACCGGTACCACACTATTAATATTAATTAATAATTTTTATTATTATTATTATAACACTATTAAAGCGCAGACCACTAGACTCAAGAACAGCTTCTATCCCGCTGCAGTACACATCCTCAACAGCTGACTGCAGTGCCTTAATACACATCTGCACTACACACTTTTTGCAGTCTTACCATGTTTTTATTTCTCACTACTACATATTAATGAATTAATCACTACTACATATTTATTATTCCTGTTGTTATTATTTCTTATGTTTGTAATGTACTGTCTACAATGTGTGGTGTTGTCTGTTGGACTGTGTATGTCCCAAGAGATCGGTTTGATTAAGAATTCCAATGTACGTGTACATATGGCAATAAACTACTCTACTCTCTACTCTAGTAAAAAAAAAGGTTGTGAAATAAGGTAGTATTAGGGCTGTATTTATGAGGTTGCAGGATCTTCTATTCCAGCTTTAAAGTTATGAAGCTATGCTGTAAAATGGATGGCTACCTCAACACAAGTCATCGAATAATGATCGTGGGATTGTGGAATTCCAGTTGTGTAGAAATTTAAATGAGGCATTAGCGTAAATGGCACAGCCCTTAAGATAATATCGAAATGAATACCTACCTTTTTTTACGTCTACCATACTTGGGGCCCGGATGCAATTAAGTACAAAAGCCCCCCTCTTCCTTCTCCCTCTGCCAGTGCACACAGAGCAAGAGAGCATAATTCAAACGGGCTAACATATTGAACTTGATACTTAGTAACTAGTTATTTAGAAGTTTACGACTTGACTTGTCACAGCAAACCTAGCGATGATATCACTGAAATCCACCTGCCTTGCAGTTCTGTTCCCTATAGACAGCAAAGCCAGAGCTCACAGTCTTTCCTGCAACATGGTGGGCCTTAGATAAGTTTTGATCAATTTCAGTTTGCTAAACGAGCGTTCAGCCCTGGCGACAGCACCTGGAATTGTTGAAAACACTTGACATGCTACAGTATCACTGTGTCTGGCAACACAGATTTAATCTTTGTTGACCAAATACTGCAGCGCTTCAACAAAGAGAAACTGAGACAGAAACTTTAATTCAGTTGCCAAATCTTCGCCATGAATGTCTCCTAAATACAAGGCAAGTTCATTGCAGGCTTCAGTTTAATTATCTCCGGTATTTTTTTTGTCAAACAAAATGCCAAAAAGACGGCTGAATTCACTCAAGAAAGAAAAAAGGTTCTGCTGTCTGACTGACGAGGGTCCAGTAAGCAATTGAAATTTTTTCCTCTGAAATTGTCTTTTGTGTTCTTTGCGTTTCTCGCTACCCGACTTACGTTTCTGGATCCCTTTCAGGTTGCACACTAACGAACATAGTTTAGCCAAATGTAAGCTCGTCTGTTGCTCAGTCTTACAGGAGAGCTGGATAACGCGACCTGTTCCACAGGTTTTGGGATGAACGCGCCAATGACCAATTGCAAAGCATCCGCACAGCGGTGTTTTCCAACAGATCAGTGTTTTATTTTAAAATATGCCAGACTAATATCGCTGTTGGATAATACACCGCAATCCCTGCCCCTGACATACAAACTCTCATTTTACAGATGGTCTTTTCTAAAAAAAAGGCTGTCATTTTAATGATGTTAGCAATGTCCCCCCCGCCCCCGTTAGATCTGGGCCCGGATGCAGATACACTCATTGCACCCCCTGTAGCGCCGACCCTGGGTATCATCTCATTAGTTCAGGAATACTTTACAATTTGAGAGTACCCCAAATCTCAGATTTTACAGTCACTTTTTAACGTGCAGAGAAACTATCATTATCCCGACTCACGTATATATACTCCAAACACCGTCGCCCTCCGGTGATTTAGAAAATTAAACGAGACATACTGTATGTAGAAAAGTATGTGTTTATTACTCATGAACACCGACATTCGGTCTGTACTGGTAAAGGGATACGATGATTCCTGGCCGTAGCCTGTCATGTTGATGAGTCCTCTCGGCCATCACTGGTGAGAAACATCGGTAGTTGAGGATGCAAATACGAATCAGCCCAGAATGCACATCGGCAGCACAGCAGTTTACAGCTGTTTCAGGCCCCTGACGAAATAAAATCTTTGATCTGCCCCACCCCTTGCGCATTGCAAACAAACAGACTGATTTCCACTAGATATAGAAGCAAGAAGAATCTAAAAACACAAAAGACCAGCCATCAAGCACTGGATTTGCAAATTTTGCCTCTGGCAGGTGGGATTAATTTAATCCACTGTCTTTAGCTCAGTGGAATACTCACAAAATCATTTTAAAAAAACAGGTTGGGGAGACATGTTCTGAAGAATCTCTAGAACTTAACAGCCAAAAGAGCAAAGCATTGTGGGAACACAATGAAGGTGGTCAGGTCACATGACACTACACACAGCACAGACAGTGACCTCTCGAACAGGCGTCATGAAAAAACAATGGCATCGTCACCAAATACAGCCCATGGCAACAGAGTGAAACACTGGCAGCACAGCAAAGCAGAAATAGGACGGGCGCTCCCTTCTTTTACCCCTGGGTGGTACACTTTGGCTCAACAATAAAAGAGTTCAGATTAGCTCCCAATAAGCCACTGGTGGGGATGAGTGGTGTTTCTGGAGTTTCCTGGATTGCCCCCTCACGCCAGAAATGGATGAACAGCAAGGGACTTTTTTTGTTTTCCGTTGGTTTGGTATTGACCGGCGTTTCCTGACTAGCTCGGAGCAGCTGCCAGTTCAGTAACCGGAGGTGAAGGAGTTGTTGGCACTGTCCGAGTTAAAGCAGGAGCTGTGTGAGGTGAGGTTGTAGGCGAAATAGGCCACCGCAGAGCCCAGCATCAGCCCCGTCATGTAGGAGACTGTCATCGTGTTGCCTGACGAGAAACCAGAAGGGGCTCAGTGATCCATGAACCCTGAGACTCCTATTCATGCCAATTAAGCCGGACGAGCTAAAGAATGCAGACTGCACTTTGCCTATTACAAAAACAAAAACCCAAATGTGTGGTAAAATAGTTTTTTTGGAGTGGGTGTTATGAAGGACCACTGTGCAACGACATGAAATAGGTATTATTCAACATATTTCAACAACCATAATGTAAAGCTGTTTCTATGAAAACATGTGTGCCATGTGCATGAGTATGTGTTTGAATGACAGGATAGATTTCTTCACAGCCTAGACAGATCTGTGGAAAGATCTTCACAAACGCTGACACTTGATGTCCTACATCCACGATAAAAAGTCATAGAAAAAACAGCTCACAACGCAGATTAATCAGGAAAATATTCAGCGTAAAACAAGTGTGGGAATTTCCTTCCTTAAGACTGATAATCCTGCTTAAATGATGTGACCTGGATCCAGCCTAAAGTTTAAAATGCATTTATCTTCATGATAATGTGGACAGTGGAAAAAATGCATCCCGAGACCCACCTGCCAGTTCTCTCTGCTCCGGAATGACTTTCCCTGCTGCCTGGATCATGGGCACACTGCCAAAGTAGCCATTGCTGATGCCCATGAGAAGGGAGAACACACAGGGCCAGGCAGGATGAGTGAAAGCAGGCTTGCTGGTGGGGTAGACGCACATGACGAAGAGGGGGATGAAGACCACTCGAATACAGGAGAACAGAAGCAGGCGACTACCATTCCAGTCATAGGGCAACGCTGCCAGGATCTGCAGGAAACACATATACCAGGACTGAGAATCAAGGTCTACTTCTGTAGCACTGAAAACAACCAATCCTCTGTTACTCGTAACACCCAGGTCCAAAACATTCAGACTATATCGCACCTTCTATCTGCCTTTACTAATCCTTGTCATTTTAAACTACAAACAAGCAGCTCCCTCTCTCTGACTTTTACACACTCTATTACCTTTTACCTATTACCTTGCACTGCAGAAACCTGTGTTTTTCCAGATCAGCGTTAAATCATCCCGACTTTGGATGCTATTTTTTTTTGTAATCTGGTGCAAAATATTTACCTTTTTGTAGCCATGTCAGCTTGATGTAAATGTCTGAACATTAATCTATGTGTGGACCCCCTTTTCCATTTTTTTGTCAATGTTATTTATTCATCAGTTATAAACTGAATTGAAATGTGTTTGTAACTTGATTCTGTCAACCTTAAACTATTACTTTTCTGGATGCTTACCATACCCCACAGATCAGATCAAAATTTAGTTGCCCTCTTTATGTCATTTCATTTTATGCTATTTTTGTCAAATGTGGAAAATGACAGGTCTGAAAAGCAGGTTGATTGAGATCTCCTGTTCCAAATGTTTGAAAGAAAACCTATATTTTCTGTTTGTCCAGCTGTCTCCCCTATGGCAGGGGAAATAGTGAAATACAAACCAAAGGACACAGGTAGAAACTAAATGGAAGACCATCCAAATCCAAGAACAGTAGAACTTCTTTACCTAAAGAGTTTTAAGACTACGCTCATCCAACAACTGGCTCATCCCAGTTGTTGAGGCCAGTAACTTGGCTTTGCTTAAAACACTACTGGACAAGATCGTCAGACCGATTAACTACCAAACGGACTAGATGGGCTCTCTCTAATTTTTCTTGCATTCAAATGAAACTTACTTTGCCAACAAAGTCAGACATGTTGAAGATAGCCATAATCAGGATTGGAAGCCACTCGCCGAGGGTGTGATTGCGAATCTCGGACTCCAGGCCAGGGAACAGGCAGAGGGTGATGAAGTAAGTCACCGCGATGGACAGCATGTAGGTCCAGATCACCCGGGAAACAATATAGCGATGCAGGATCATGTCTGCAGGACAGGCAGGAGTTGATGGAACTGTTTTTACACACAGGTGTTCATAATAATCAATCCCTTACACTTCTATAGCACTTTTCTGGACACTCCCCTCAAAAATCTTTACAGGTAATGGGGACTCCCCTCCACCATCACCAACCTGGAAGGTGCGATGGCAGCCATAGTGTCACACCCGCTGCTAATCGGAATCCTCCACACAAGTGGTCTCGCCCCAATCAAGCACCAGCCGGAGGCAATCCCCGCAAATGCCGCCGATCTATCCCTTCATCCAATCGGAGCGCTTCACTTGTTTACACACCCTCCACTTCCAAACATTCTTAAGCCTCCTCAGTTTCACTGAACGTTGTTCAGTGTTGTTCGCTTCCTCGGAACTGCTTGCCCCACACACCAGCTATCAGTGGGGAGGAGAACAGAGTGAGGAAGCCAGTTCGGAGATGGGGATTATTAGGAGGCCATGATTGGTAAGGGCCAATGGGAAATTTGGCCAGGATGTCAGGGTAACACCCCTACTCTTTTGGAGAAACACCACGGGATTTTTAATGGTTTTACATCTCATCTGCAGGATGGTGCCTTTTTACATTATTGTGTCCCCTGTCACTATACTGGAACATTAGAGCCCACACAGACTGCAGAGTGAGTGCCCCCTACAGGCCCCACTAATACCTCTTCCGGCAGCAACCTTAGTTTTTCCAAGGACGTCTCCCATCCAGATACTGGCTAGGCTCACATCTGCTGAGCTTTATTAGGCTGCCAGTTGTGAGTTGCAGAATATGTGACATGGCTGCTGGTGTTCAAGTATGAAGAAAGATACTGTATGCCCTTCAACCCAGCTCTATTCTTTCACTCTCATTTGCCATTTTTCTAGGCCAAATATCATATTTCAGTACATTTCAGTAAACACTTTGAAGCAAAAGCTTTTCCTACTAGAGATTGTTCATTTTATGCACAACAGTACAATAGTTTTGATACATCTTTCTGTTGGGTGTGGCATTTGTTCTAGAATTGTCATTTGTATTGTTTTATTATTATTGTATTTTACACATCCGAAGAAGACTCCACAGCCATTGTTTTTCCTTTCTTCTCTTTCCAGCATGGAATAAACCTTTGCAGCCTATGCGTGCTGATGCAGCTACCTACTTGTAGTATTTTATTATTACTGGTTTCAGGTGACATCACTAAGACATGTTGCTGTCCTCTGTTCATGAACCTGGAAGAGCATCCAGTGAATTCTCTGCAGATCTCCAAACCAGCTGGACACATTTTTTAAATCTGTGGCCTTTGTTCAAACCAGTCTTATACAGAAGTCAATTTAGTACCATTTCTATCTTTTCAGAAAGCCAGAAAGGAAAGGAGAGGTCAGTCCAGTTGTTAAGTGTGGTCCTTCCAAGACAAGAAGGACCTTGAAAATAATCTAATGTAATCTAAGACCTCAAAGGAATGCTATTTTATTTTATTTTTTTTCCCATTTGGATAAAATAAACACAAGTTAATTAAAAAGTTAGTTTTAGGTAGAGGAGAAGTCCCCTACAGTCTCCAGTGTGTATCAAAACATCCTCACTCCCCACCTCACCACAACCCCCGAATTCAACTTCCTTACCTCTTATGCTAGGCCAGCTCCTCTTTATTTTCGGCTTGGGCACATCAAATCGCACATATGTTCCACTGCCTGCAAATTCTGCTTCTGTTCCAGCTTCAGTCGGAGAGACGCCTATCAGTCCATTGTCCTTAGGTGCAGAAGATGACACAGAACATGCCAGACTCTAATGATCAACCCTCTGAAATGTCTGTATCACCCAATGCCCATCCTATATCTACTGGTTAGATATCCACATGCATGACGTGGCCACAATTTCATCTTTATCATAGGTTCTTATGAATAAGAACCTAACTGGCCTTGAAATGGTTTGGTTTTCAAAATAGCCATGGCTTGAGGGGAGCCGACACCAGCAGTGGCTGAACCCTCCGATCTAAAGCTCTTCCACAGTACACAGCTTTGTAGCATCTGTTCCCCTTTTAAAATCTCATTTTAAACTCTCTCATGGAAAGCAAAGGCTTTGTTTTCTTCTTTGCTGAACTGTGTTGGCTGTCTGTTTGAAAGAAGTAGAGGGGATCTTTGCTGGAAAATTGTTTGTGGAAAACACCCTTGGGCATTCATCTTTATGCATAAAGGATAGAGACACCCATCTTGGTGACTGAATGCCAGCTGTATCTTTGCAATAATTAGTTTTGGTTTATCAGCATTTTCCAGTTATTAAATATCAATGTATTACGATGGAAAATGCATCTAACTACTGCAAGAATAAATATTTTTAATATATCGGCTCATACAAGATAACATCATGTTTGAATTTCATTCTATTTCTATAAATAGTAAGCAAATTGATAGCAAAGTATCAACAATACCATGCTATAAAGGAGATAAGCGAGTTTCTGGTTTCTCAGACAACACCTGTTTAACATGCTGCCTGTCAAGGACCCCCCCCCTCAGTGAAAACCCATTACTTTGCTCCAAGGAATTTTCATTTATTATTTAAAATGTACTGTGTCTGCCTGGCACATTGGGTTCTAAACCATGTTTACATTTATAACCTTCTACAACTCAGATAAAATACATTTATGAGGTCCAGTCAAGCAATCTTGCTGTAAAACACAATAACTCACATACACAGAAGCACTACAAGGTAAACACAAATATGGTCCGTACAAAAGTGCTCTCGTGAATTGTTTCGCAATACAAATCATTTGAAGGTGTATTTTAAATATCACAAAGCAGGAGAGTTCGAATGGCTTTCTCAAAAATAGTAAACATGCCCTGCGGTTAGAACATTATCTAAAACGACAGGATACTAAATGCATTTAATGATTTCTGAGTTTTGTTTTCTTCTGTTCTCACCCCAAGGGGTAAACAATTTCCAGTGAAAAATGACATTAATTGGTTCCAGTAATCTATACTCCATTACCTATGGATCAGATTAACAAAAGTGCTCAGTTTGAGAGAGTTAATGATTTATCAACATTTATTGCATCAGAGGTTTAAGTCCTAGTCAGGGAGAGGATATTAAATTCTTAACTTTAATCATGCATTCTCATAGAGTCTTTTAGGAGTCTTTCTGACTGCAGAAATTAAGCTCCAGCATTTTAACTGTCACTTTTGGCAAGAGCTGGCTCCCACGCTGAATTGTAACCAACCTCTCAACTGTTTGGCAACATTTAAAAGATTGTCTGCTTGAAGCACAGAACAAATCAATCTGCAGCAAAATAAATGTTAGAAAAGTACGGGCCCAAATGGTTTAATAAATCAATTCAGAACAAAGGATCATCATTTTTTTTTCTACTACTAAAACTGTAAATATAAAATGAGTCGGGAGGCACAGTGATTGGCATTGAAGCCTCACAGCAGGGGGCCCTGGATTCAATACTGGAACTGGATCTGAGTTTGTATTTTCTCCCTGTGTTCAAGTGGGTTTCCTTTGGGTGCTCCAATCTCCTCTCACAGTCCATAGACATACTGGTAGAGGAATTGGCTTCCAGGAAAACTGTCCCTGCTGTGAGTGTGTGCTTGTCCATCTCTGTCTGTGCCCGGTGATGTTGACTGGTGTCCTGACCCGAGTGCATCCTGCCCTGCACCTGTCGCTTGCTGGGATAGACTGACTCCTCAGCGAAACTGTGTTGAATGAAGCAGTTATGAAAAGGAAGGATAGATAAAATGAGTGAAAAAAGAACAGCACTCAGCTGAAGAAATGAAGTGCTGTAAAATGCAGAAACAGGTAAAAAGGGGTAGTACAGACCCCAGTAAGTAAAAGAAAATAATATTGCAATGGAGGATAAAACACAGTAAACTCTCACTTTAACGGCCTAATAGCAGTAAAACGCTGTCCGTTATTTACGAAGACTGTTGAATCACAAATTACTTTTTCCCAGCCCCAAAACACACTATTATATGAGAAATATATACAGTAAGTATACTATATATGCTTTCTGGATCTTTTTACTTATTTTTTAAAAGGTTCAATCAATGCAGGCAATGAAAAATTGTTCCTGTGCCTTTTTTTAAAATCAGAAATATACGAGTTCTTTATTTTGTGTGTCGTAAATAAACTACATAAAATTCGCTAAAGCATAAGAAACACAAGCACCCACCGAAAGAAATTGACCTACTCTGATAGGAAACCATTAATATTCCTGTTTTACATAAGTACATAAGTTTTACCTATGTAGTATTCGTTTTTTAACTAGTTTTATTGTTTGTGGATTTCCCTGTTATGGTGGGAAAGTCCAGTATTTTTCTGATTTTTACAAACAAAATTTCTCTTTAGCAGTCTGCAAATCTGAAGTCCATTAAAGTGAAGTTAAATCGAGGGATTACTGCAAAGCTAAGTACAGTATTATTAACAGGAAAAAAAGGAGCAGTTTCTCTGTCATAAAAATGCAAAGCATCAGACAGTGAAAGAGAATAGATGAAATTATTTGCAGCGACAATGTCAACCCATTGCACATTGCCATCACTGAGAGTGAAACACAAACCAGAGGACACGTGTGTAAAAAACAGCAAAGTGCTTTTATAACTAAGACCAGAAGACACAAGGAGTTGTGGGAGTCTGAAACAAACTAACAGGTCATGTTGTCACAGCCAACATCTGGGAATATCGCTAAGATATAAGCAATCTACAGCAGATCCTCAGAATGGCTTCCTCTCACATGTAACCCTTAGGTTTTATCGTCTCACCTTTTATTTTGTAAAGAAAATCTAAAACCCATTTTAAAATGTATTTTTGAAACAACAACTGATTTTGCCATCATATCAAGTGCCAGAAACGAAGAAATGTAGCTAAACTGTTGTTGTATATTGCCGCACACTACCCAGCTGAAATATTCAAAGCATAATCATTCTTGGAAGTGGAATGCAAACTTAACCATTTTTAAGAAGAAATCTTTCATGCCTGTGTGTTGGGAGCCCATCTCTGAAATATGACAGGCTGTTCCACAGTGACTGTAAATAACCAAGCTTTTGCTGAGGCAGCTTTACACCAATAGAGCCCTAATATATTGTAGATAAAGGATGAAAATTGATGTGTTTTCCTTCAGAGATGAATGATAAGAGAGGGAGGGAGCGAACAACTTGCAGATGACCTTTAAGCTAATCGCACAGTCACAAACCCTGCGTCATTATGTCATTACTGTGATGCAGGAGTCTGGAGAAGTAACCACTTAGCTGGTGTTCCTGTGGTAGATACACTTTCCTGTGTGTCTAATTTCACGATAAATAATGCCTGAAGGGTCTTCAGGTTTACAATGGGCTCCTTTGTTGTGCCTTCTGAGAAGCAAGATCAAGCCTACGTTTGCTTGTTTTCTTTTCTACTTGTGATGTTCTGTTGTGCCTGCCCTCTAGCAATCAGTGTGAAGGATCTTTAAAGAAGACATTGCAACAGAACTTCCCACTATCTGGTTTGTAACCCTCCTCCCTCCAATCTGCACATGAAAGATAGAGAGGAAAGTGCTGAGGCTACAAGTATGTCTGAACAGGCCAAACAATTGATTTGAGTTATTGATCTCTTGAAGGCTGAGTTTAACCCAACCACTATAATTTGTTATCGCAAACTTTTTCAAACTAACTTTAAGGATGCTATATTGGATTGACAAACTTCAAATCTTTATATCCACCAACATTTTTCCTGTACATTGTAGCACCCCTGGTGCTGAGCTCCCCACAGACGCAGGGCTATAATTTCCCTGTACTCTACAGAAAAAAAAAAACTTACAAATCTTACTTCCTCTGTGATGACGTCGTGGTGCACACGGTACCCTGTGCCGGGATCAGTGTGACCCTTGACCTCCGCGAGCCCCCGCTTGGCTCGGCTAGTGAAGTAGTGCACGAAGCGGGTCCTCCTCACCAGCAGGTGGAGTATGAAGCACATCAGCTCGATGCTGATGGAGATGAAGAAGAAAATGATGGTATTTTTCTTCTCGTCTGAGATCAGAAGCTTGGTGAAGATTCGGCTCAGTGAAATGATCACTCCAGCTGTGCCTGAAGGCAGAGAACACAACAAGATCAAACAACACTGTGTCCACCTCACAGACACACTCAAAATTAATTCTCAACCTGGCAACATGCTCTGTAGACACTTTGCTCAATAAAATAATGCTAAACTGCTTTAAATACACTATTATAATGCAGAGCACTTTATGTCATCCATCAATGCTTACCTTTATTTTTAAATGCATTTTTATTATTATAATAACTTTAAAGGCAAAAAGTGAGCTAAGAATAACATTTTCACGATGAGAATGAAATGAGAACTCAAAACCTGTTCTCTGAGAAACCCTGTGCTCTGCCTGAGAAAACCGGGGCTAAATCTTAGAAAACTGGGACTTGAGATAATTGGGGCACTGTCAGCTCTGTCTATACTTTGCACTCTGGAGTTAAATTCTTCTGCAGTTCAATGGCTCAATGAAATAGTCAAGTCAGTTCAATGTGAGGTATCATTCTCTTTCCTAATGTGTTCTGAAAGTGGTCCAGTCAGCAGCATGGCTTCCTCGGCAACCAGGTAACAACTGCAGGACCTATTAATAAAAGTCCATGTTGTTGGAAGCCGTTCATTTCCAAAAGCCAGTCCAAGAGAATATTATTTCTCTGAACATGCTGTGAAGCCGTTTTTGAAAACTAATTCAACTAATTTGAATGCATCACAGCTATTAGATCTGACAGGCAGCCCAGCACAGATATTTGACAATCATTTCATTCCGTTTTCTCCCGCGTCCAGATCTGCTAATAAACTTGCTAAACTGGCCTCATTTGCCATGACAGCAATTCACATGACTCCAATATCTTGATTGAACTTAAATGACCAATTTCAGAAAAACTGCAATTGTATTCTTTTCTATTCATGTCATAAAATCATTCTAAAATTGTACCCTGTGTCTGCTTTCCCTTTAGTTTTTGGCACTTAAGAGCTATTAAGGGAGGAACAAGTAGGTCACATTCATTCTGTTATTAACATTTAAGCAGTTGTTGTGACTTGAAAAGATCTGAAAGGCATTTACTTACTCTCACCAGTCATCACCCCTTGTGTGTATCGCTTGGGAAGCATCCCAGTGTAACCATAGAAACTGGACTGTTGAACTGAAAATGAGACATTTAGGAGAAACTTTTAAGGCTATGTCAGCAGAAATACAATTTCTAATTACTAATTAATATAATTAAGTTTTACATAGTGGCAACAAAACCATCTTCTAAGGTACATGGACATTCACTTGTTGTTTTTAGGTTTCTGAATTTAATGTATCCCTAAGTAGGCTAGATCCTTCTTGAAAGTAATTTAGACTTAGACATCTAATTAGTTTTTAAATATATACCACCACGCAAAAAGATTTTGCCCTGTTCAGCTGATTTAACCGACTTTGCATTCTTAATGAGGAAACAATTCCATAGCAAACATCTACTGAAATTTCAGCCATTTTGTTTTAATCTATTAAATCCTACTAAATCTGCATTTTGTGGTACAAAAAGCAGTTCTTCAGCTTTATGGATGTGTATAGAGCAACAATTGCTGCTAATGATGAACACCTGACATTCAGTCAATTAGATTTCACTGGTAAATGTGATGGATTAGTGTAGACAAGCTTAGCTGCTTTTCTCCCAAGCTTAGCTGTATTAGCGACAGTCAAAGCTCTTATTATAAGACAAAAACAGTGCATCTGAGTAAATTTTGATGCTCATAAAATACGAGCGTCATTCAGTCAAACCCCAATTAAGGCAGAGAGGAGACGTGATTTAAATAGTGAGCTTTACTGGGGTAACTCATCAGGCTGAGGAAAATGGCAACTGGTTTGTTAAGATGGGGCTGTCGGAATTCCTCTTTAATGAGGGATGAGGCAGAAAGTTTCTGCAAAGGGCGAGGATGGACTGGAGGGAGGGCTAAAAAAACAAAATGTATAAGAAACATGATATTGACTGCACAGGTTTTGATCTGCTTCCACATTTTGCATTTAAAACTTCATAGTCCCCCTAAAGGCGTTTAAAAATATTCAGGATGGCGTAAAAGGAGTTTAATCAGAAGAACTAATGTGATTACATGTTTATCAAGCCTTTCATCTTCCTGAACAAGCCTTTGAAGCTTAATTTACCTGAACAGCAGTATTCCCTGGGCAGGGGAAGAGCACACTGTACATACTGCCTCCCTGTGCTTGTCGTTGATTAACTAATGAGTGCTAATTATGCAGCTGGAGGAGTAACGGAAGGGACAGGAACGTGTTTTATTGTTCTGTAGTCGTGTATCTCAGAAAAAAATCAGTTTTTTCCTACCTGGCCCCTTGCTTTGCTTCATAAACGGAAACAGGAAGTTCCCATCTAAACCTTATCTTACAGCGTCACATCATGCTAAGTACAAATATAGCATCCGGTTTCAATTCTGTTCAAGGATTTTTATTCCCCTGGGGGGAAAGCTGTTTTACAGAAGAGTCCAACACATATAACATAAACCAACATGACCGACAAAGAGTCCCGGACAACAGCGTTTTAGATTATATAAGTTATTTTATGTTGTGAATGAGATGACAGAGGTGATCTCTATTACCATTACATCTAGGGACACAGAGATGTCTCCTTTCACAGTTGAGAGAGTGTGTCACACACTCTATAAAGCCGTTAGCTTTCTTAAGAATCCTGTATTTGTAGACAGCATTTGGGCTGAACTGATTTGCCCCAACAATTTTTCCTGCTTATTTTCACCTCATTTTCAGAGGACACTCAGTCTTCTGCTTTTGGAGTGCCTGAATACTGCAAATGCTGGCACTGCTTCTTCTAAACCTGAACAAACGTCTTGGGAAGGACAGTCACCATAGCCTCCCCGTCTATAGAAAAACACAGCCCTGACAAGCTAAGTTTTATATCCTCTATAATTCCACTGTGAATTGTGTTCTAAAAACTCTGTTTGCAGCAGCTCTCCATCACTTGTGCGTGGGAGAAACCCAGTCACAGCTGACACCTCTGCAAGACACTTCTGTTTTGCTCTTATAGGGATTTCTACTAGCCTCTCAGATTATCCACATCTACAGCTGTACCTGTGCACCCAAAGGCAACCACTCCCACAGCCACCAGGTTGATGGCGTAGGCCTGCTTCTTCGTGAACTGCTCCAGCCAGACGTCACAGATGCTCACAAACAGGAGAGGCCCAAGAGCGAACAGGTAGCCTGAAAGGGAAAAATCCAATGCCAGCTGAATATGGAAGGATCCTTCAGCGCATCCCCTAGTCTGTTTTCCTGTTTCTGCAACACTAATAATATCTGAGTAAGACCAGCCTGGCAGCAACATCGAATTGGATGCACAGCACTCTACCTCTAACAAAAGTGCCTGCATATCACCATTGAACACCTGTTGTTTGCCGAGTTATACTTTGAGGTTTAATACCTTAATGTTGATTCAAAACCTAATGCAAATGGGAGCACCTGCACTTTTGTTGGGTTTTTTTTCTGAGAACTCCCTCTACCCTTAGAAAAAGCTAAGGGTAGCAGAATCTATGATGGATTACTAAGAGCTCTGTTCCCCTTTTAACTCAAGTCATAGTACCACTGTAGCATGAACCATCTGGCCTGCAATTTGACCCACTGTTTCAGACAGAACTCTTAGCAAAGTAGCCACACAGTTAGTACCAATGCCAAGCCTGCTCTACCAAATGACTGGCCCTCTGACTGGAGATTCAGACAATTTTGAGAGCCCAGGGGAGAGATGTCTACTTAATAGGCTCATCATACGCTTTGAATCCTGTTGCACTTATTACTTTTGTAATGGTCCATTTTTTTTTTTTGGCATGGACGTAATTTAAAGCTCCCTGCTCTCATAAGAAAATTAATTTCACTTCTGTATTTATCAAGTGTGCTCAGCACAGCTGGTCTCTGTCTGCCATTGTGATTTTGTGCCAATGAGCCTTAATTAGACTGAGCAGACACTGGAAATGGAACTGCTGTAGCAAATTTACTTTGGGGAAAAAGGGAGCTTTAATACTGCTGCTGTTTGAAAGGGCTTTTCAATGATAAACTGCTTCACCAAAGATGAAAACTGATCCATGAGAGGATGTATGACACCGAGTCCCTATCTTAGCCGCTGACAACCTGTCCCACTGCAGACAGTGAGATTTATAAATATTCAGTTCATGAAAGACCTTATATAAGTGGCTTGATCTGTTTCAAGCAATACTCTTCCACTCAGATTAGGGTCAATTTAATTGTAGCTTGTTTCTTCTTCTTTGGTTTGATTAATTATATCTCCATTAATTAAAAAAAACAAGGCTGCAGAAATGAAAGGAAAGCAAACTATCAGGAGGGTGTTCTGAATGTTAAAAGTTAAGAATGACTAAACAGGAACAGTACTTCAGGTTCACAAAGTAATGTGATAAGTCGATCATTCCACTCAAAAACCCAGATTTCTCACTTACCCACGGTGATTCGGGTGTGCAAGCTGAGCATCTCAACCAAAGCGTTGTTTAATATGACAGCAACAAGAGCCACCAAAATATATGTAAGGCTCATATCAAAGACAATCGATGTGCCTGTGGAGCAAGAAAGATATAAGCTCTAGGTATTATTTAATACAGTGAACAGGGAACCTTATCAGGTCTTTTTTCCTAATGCTCAATCAGTTTTATTATCTTATAAAGGTTAAGTAGCATCTGAATTTGGTTTCTCATGTAAAAGCAAATTTTTTTTTCAAAGCAAAAAAGATAACTTTCTGCAGCACGATGCTGAGCTAGTTTATTGCGTTTTGCAAAGAAAAAAGGGTAAAAAGTTATAAATGGTTTCTATCTGTATTAAGACGGCCAGGGAGAGTGCATCTCATGCTAAGCATCTGATTTGTTGATATGCTTGCTGATATACTGTACATGCCCAATGCTGAAAGAGGTTGATTTCAAGAAATCAAAAAGAATAACAAAGCACAGTTAACATAATAATATGCAATTCCCAGTGTCGACTGAACATGAATAAATACACAAAACATAACTTGGGCTTTTAAAAAAAAAAGTTTCAGTGGTGAGGTTAGCACCCTCTGCATTTAACAGAAAAACAAGGCAGTAAGCAGAATACAGTACCTTTGAATTTATGATGCAAGTAGTCCACATCTGTAATGAAGCTGTTGTAAGGAAGCAAGAACCCAACTCCAGCCAGCAGCATGGCAAAATAAATTCCATGATAATGATCCTGTGGTTCAGGCACCTCAAAAGCTTGACATAAAGAGCAAGGAAAATCAGTAAACCCAAAATACTGTGCCATTCCTTCCAGTTTATGAGCAGTAATATGTTGAAGGACACGTCTACACATTAACAGGATTTCTTAAAGGTCAGTGAAAGGAAATGAAGTTATCAGGTTCTGTTTGTCATCTCACAGACCTTTTTATAGGAACCGGCATTTCAACAAGACTTTGAGGGTTTAAATATTTGTTAAGTTGTGCTGTATTAAATAGACCGTTTTCCTCTTCCGCATTTGCGCATATTCATGAGTGACAGTGAGCTTGTCGGACCTTTTTGTGTCTACGTGTTGTGTAAAGTGTGACCGTTTCACCACCTGAATAAACAGTGGGCAAGCTCCACTCCCCAACAGCATAAAGCATGCGGAGTACCACGATGCAAACATTCTCATTTGGAAGAAAATATCAAACAAGGCCTTTTGAGACTGCATCCATCTTTCACCCTGAAGACCGTCAGCCTGAATCCAAGACTGCGAAATTCCATCTAGGCAAGAAAAATCCCAGGAACCCAAGGTATTTCTGTTCTTCCTCTAGAGTTCTTTTACTGTGATGCGCTATTCCATTAGGAACCTCAAAGACATTAAAATGGTAAACCTGATAGCCTGATAGATTTGGGTTCTTCAAAGCAAGAAAACTGTAGTGTGGTGTAAAAACTCCAAGTTAATATTTTATGGATGGGAGCTTATCTTTTTTAGCCACTGCTCTTTCCTGTTCTATTCAGCTACATGATGGAGAGATGGCATGCACTATGCACAGGATAAAAGGGTTTTCTGTTGAGTATTTTAAACTCTGCCTACCACGTAAATTATGCATTTATCTGTCTGTTAAGATAAAGTGTGCAATCTCACTCCCCGATTTGCTGAATTGGCTAAAGCAAGGATTTGATCCTAAGGCAATCCAGGAATTATTAACATTCACCCTGAATCACCCATGTCTAAGTGAAATAAATACATTCTTACACTTCTATAGCACCTTTTTAGACACTCCAATCAAAGCGCTTTACAGGTAATGGGGACTCCCCCCCACCATCAAGAATGTGTAGCCCCAATCTCGATGATGCAAGGGCAGCCATAATGCACCAGTATGCTCACCACACATCAGCTATCAGTGGGCTGGGGAGCAGAGTGATGAAGCCAGTTCATAGTTGGGGATTTTTAAAAGGCCATGATTGGTAAAAGCCAGGGGGAAACATAGACGTTATTGATTAATTAAGCCAGATTTATTCAATTAAGAGAGAACCAGACCTTGTATGGCTAAAGAACATTCAGATTTCATTTCCAAAAGATCACTATATGAAATTACCTGCTTAACTGATCACAATGAAATATCTCCAAATCTACAGAAAGAGATTAATTAAATTATGACTTAAAAAGCTTTTTGGACTGGGGGAGGTACAGAGCCCCAGTGGATGCCACTTCTACCTGGCTCGGTGAAGGTCAGAACCCCCTTATCTGGGACGTCCTTGGTCTGGCTGTCCTCCTCCTCCAGCTGGTAGCTCTCGAAGCTGAAGCTCATCACCACATTGCCTTCTGGGGTCAGCGCAGGTGTGGCCTCTTTGCGGCCTTCAGCGCCCACAGAGCCCATTCTGATGCCCCTCTGATCCCAGTCCACTCGTTCGGGGCAGGAGGGCGTCTCGCGGTGCATCCAAAAGCACCTGCATGAAAATATCAATCACTTCAACACACGTCGGCTTTGCAGATCAAACCCACTGTACTCTATCTTAATGACAACTGCGCCACTGCACAGCAGCCTGCAGGTTGCTGTTGATTCTCATCTGTCTTATTTCATCTTTTGAAACTGATTCAGAACCAATATTGGCACTTTTTGGTAATCTGACTTTCTGTTCTTTAACAGTAAAACGTGTACAGTTGTCAAGATATCTGTGGTAGCTTTCTGAAAACACCACTGCAAAATTCTTTTAGAAAAAAGACCCTCTTCTGCCCACCACAAAATAAAGCAATTGCCAGTGTTCCTAATAGACATCACCACATGCCTTTAGACACACATTATTGAGCAGAGATAACTGTTTCACTGCAAATCTGTAGAGTTGATCCCAATGAAACAGAGACCAAAATGCACTCTGCCCAGTCCAGAAGCTGACTAACACCAGCTCTACACCCGCAAGTGCCAGGTAAGCAGTTGAGCAGGTGTAACTGAGCCAGTCGTGCACTGTCACAGTCAGCTCCAGTCACAGTCAGTTAGTGACCACATGGACTGGACTCAAACTCACAACGTTTAGATTACAGAGCCAGAGCAGCAATGGTATTGGGAACTAAGGAAAGGGAATGGGTACATTTAAATCAGCCTGTTATATTGACAGTTTTAAACATTTAAAAAAAAACATATCATACTGTGCTAGAGGTCCCTTTCTGTCTGTCAGGTTTGCACAACTAAATCTGCAGCCTGTCAGGAGGAGAGCGGATGTAAATGAGTGGGGATGTTCCTGATGTCAGAAACACTTCTGGTAATTGATCGCCATTCTGAAAGCCTATCATTTGCCTCCAACTGGGTTCTGCTTTGTTTGTCATGTCACTCTCCATTGCCTTCTCCAGCTTGCCTTCAAGCAGTTGTGCCTTTGAAAGGGCACTGACCATCTTATAATTCCCTGGGGTTTTTTTAGAAATCGACCATTATTTTTGTCGTAAACTGACTTCTGAAAAGGCAATGAAGTGTTTATATAATACGATCCCAGGGAAGAACGAGGAATGAAATGAGGACGAAATAAGGAAATGCCGGCAGGGCCCTTAAACACGCCCACCTTTGGGCCACTTGACTTTTTAAACGTCACAGGGAACACAGCCTCTCGCAGGAGGTTAAGCTCTGATTTAAGGAGGGACACATCCCTCAGCCACAACACCCCATGCTTGCAAGCGCCCAATAGGCTTCAGGCATCAATGTTTCACTGAGAGACTACTGCCTAACTAAGCCCTACCCTCACAGACACTTAGCCAATTGTGACCGCATGGTCCCAGTCACAGTTAGCTAGTGACAGACTCAAAAACACTAAGTGTGACCATCGCGGTTCCGCGCGGTCTTGTGCCTTCCGCCACCCCGTTCCGTTCCACAGCGCGAACCCGGGTCTCCGGCGTAACGCAACAGGGAACCAGCCGCATGAGCTGGAGGAAACCTCCCTCAGCCCAGGCAGCTGAGGTCCCTGCTACGCGCAGTGAGGGCGCTGACATCACCGTATCCGAACTAGCTCCGCTACATAAGAACATCCTGCACTAGGGCCAACAACTTTACTGGTTGAGGCCCAAAAGTTTTTTTTCCCCAAAGGGCCACAAAAAGCATAACACATAATTAATGTTTTGTTTTTCGAGCTTCCTCTTTTCTCACATTTCTCTTTCAGTAACAAATCAGCCGTGCAAACTGACAGCAGAGTGAGAAATATTCTTCAGAAGTGCCAGCAGATCTAAAAATCAAGGAATTTATATAGCAAATTATAAATTAGGTTAAACCTAATTAAGAAAATTAGGTTTGTTGAAAATAGTGTGACTGTGGCAAGGTATTTGTTCATCCCTCAGGAGGGGGATCAGAATACCTCCTGGGTATCCCTGGCTGTCGTAAGAGGCGACTAAAAGGGTTGTGTCAGGAAGGGCATCCGACGTAAAACCATCTTGCCAAAACCATGGTTGCATAGAGCAACCAAAGCAGCTGACCCCAGGACAGTCTGGGACTAAGGCTGTGAAAAAGAGGAGGAGGAGGTAAGGTATTTGTTCATATACGAGACAAAAGCCAAAAGGTTTTGCTTAATGATCATCACTTTTCTGGTTAAGTACACTGAGCATCAAAAGAAACCTAAAAAAAAATCACAATTATCAGAAAAAGTACAATTTTTAGCTGGTGCCCTTATATTTTATAGAACAGAAATTAGATTAGTATTTGTCAACAGGATTGATCAACAGGGGATCTACAGTAAAAGTCACAAGGTAGCTCTGTATGTTGCCACCAATGGAAGCATTACAAGCTATAGATCTGCAATGCATGCTTTATACCAGGTTACAGATGCTATCTTCTGGAATACTGTCCCCTTTCTCTTATATATTTTAGATGAGCAAGTTTCCCATATACCTGTTCACTGGTCTCTGAACCCTATATGTCACATGTCACTGCAGCTCCTACAAATGTTCAATGGAGTTAAAGTCTGACAAGAAGGGCATCAGAAAGAAAGCTGTTGTTATCTGAGCTGTTATCATTAGGATGTGTGTTATCATTGGAATGTGGTTACATCAGAATGAGACCAAACGGTCACAAGCAAGACCAGGACTTGATCAACACAGAGCTGTGCAATCAGGCTGCAATCAATCACGACAGGCAGAGCTCTGTAGTGGCATCACACTCCTGCCAAGACCATCACCGTCTGACTGCCCCATCAATCTTGGCAGATTGTTGTGTTGTGACTCACGATCCCAGACCATGGCCTATCGTTGAGAGATTGACTGACTGTAACATCTTGACATTTGAGAAATTGCTGGCTGTGAAGCCCCAGCCAGTGAGTGACAGTGTGCTGACTTAGTCCTGCATCTAAAATACCAATGGCACAAAGACTGTGTGTTTTAATAAACAGGGCATATTGGTTCCTATCTGTGTTTTTCTATCAGGTTTTTCCAGACCTATCACTTCTATTGAACCAGCTCGTTCATTAATGAGATGATTAAAGCCATTGCAATTGTCAAAATTCCTTAAACGTATTGGCATCGATTAATCAAATAGACAGTTAAATAATATCCAAATGCACGTTTTACAGTTTTCAAAAAAGATAGATGAATAGAAATGTATCATGATATTAAATAATATTAAACATGAATTAGAATTCAGTATTTCCATTATACATTCCATTATACATATACATTCACCCTTTCAATGCTAAAAGAAATAAATTGCATATAAATTATTCATTTAAAGCCTTTTAAACTATTTTCTGCTACAACAAGATATAGTAACTTCTAAAATTATATAAAAAGATATGACAGAACTGGCTCCTCATCCAAAGAGATACAATTAACTTTATCCAAAGAATGAACATTCAGTAAATAAAACTTAGAAATATTAATATTTTATTAATATTAATTACATTTAAAAACTACACTGAAGAAGCAAAACTTATTTACTTTTTATTCAATATAGTTAAATAAGGAGTCTTCATTGCCTTACAAATACTTCCAAGACTGTGCAGCTAATTAATATATTTCAATAATCTAATACATAGAAATGACATTTCTGAAGAGAAAAACTGAGTGGTGTTAGTTAAGGCTCATTTTTCATTACACACCATTTCAATGGACTGGAGATGAAAATCATTCCACTACTGCCATGGGCAACCATTATTATGTTAAACCGCAGTACTGAATGGCACTGAGTAAAAATCCATTGTAAAAGCACTGGAGACCCTGTGTTATAGAGAGTTATGAGAATGATATAATACACTGTGTGCAGCATACCTAATTTCAGAGTTCTTTTTCCACATATTATCCCTCTGCATAAAGGCTTTTCAGAACATTCAAGCTTGCTTCAGACAGCTCACTATTAAGATCCTGTCAGTATGCGTTCATATATTCCACTTTTGAAGAAATGCCACATTTATCTCATGATCACCATTTGATGCACCATACATTACATGAGTGTTTGACATTACTTAGAAGGAAAGAAAGAATGCGTCTCAAATGCTGCCAAACCTGCCCTAATTTTCTCTATTTGCTGTCTTTTAGATTCTAGTTCTACTCCTGGATAGGACAGCAAGAGCAAATAAGTACATCCATCTACAGGCCTCTGAAGGCATTAGGGCAGCTCTTCAACTGTGTGTCCCTGTGTGTCCCTGTGGCTCCAGCAGATGACATTACAAATGGAACAGCTACCTGATCAGCTTAGGCAACTTCCTCTGCAGATGCCAAAATCAACAGTCAGTCATGGCCTTTGCAAAACCATAATATACAGCACTGCTGACAGATGGCTCCCACCTTCCCTGTGGCCTAGGAAAAGAGACTGCACTTCACAGCAACAAATACAGTATTTTATACTTTTAATTTCCACTCCTTCTTAAGATTGCCATTTTTAAAAAGGACACAGAGAGGAAAAAGGCAGAAAAATCATTTTAATAGATCAGCAGTCCTTGGATCTTGAATCTTGAACTATTAAAGGGTCTCTGCCTCCCCTATTTCTGCTTGCTTTCCATTTTCTGCTAACCTTTCCAGTGTGCTTAGAATATCCGTTTCCTGTCAAGTCTTGTTACTCTTGCCCATGCTACCATGCATCGTGTTGGACACCTTGGAACAGTCTATACTAATCAGCCAAGTCACCATCACTCTTCTCTCACATCAACCTTAATACTGAATGTTGTTACAAAGGACCTTGCTTTAGAGTCAAGCAGTACTGGGCTGTAACCTCAGAGGGTGTACATGACATAAAGACTTTATAATATTGCTTCCAAACGAGAGAAGGTCATTTGACTCTAGCTTGTTTGGTGGTTAGTAGTTAATTGAGCCAAGAATTGCATCCAGACACTTCTTGAAAGAAATTACAGTATCATCTTCACCAACATGGCTGGGTAGCTTGCTCCACCCTCCCACTACACTTTGTGTAATGAAGTGCCTCCTGTTCTCAATTTTAAACGTGTCTTCTGATTCGTCTTTTATTTTTGCTTCGTAGCATTTTGAA